GTTTAATGAAGCCTGGGAAAAACGGCATGTACAATGACGGGGGGGGGGGGGGTGGTCTTCCTCTAAGCTCCCGCGCCAATACAATACACCTTTCTCCAACTACTAAATACTGGTATTAAGTTTGTTTAAAGCCTGACTGTACTACTTATAGCTACTTGCGCCCTCTATATAGCAAACAATGCGTACTCGGTGCTTCATATAGGTTTCAGTCAAAACTTCATTACCATCACCATCAAACAACATATTAACAATGAATTACCCCGTTACCTTGCAAACCTCACGTTTACGGTTATGTCAGATGTGTGTTTTCCTCTCATCACACGTGGCCAAAATGCATTTATGATACAAAGTACACTGTACCTACTAAAAATAGATTGGATGATTCTTGTACACTGTTTGTCATAAAGGTGGAATATTTTCTTTTACCCCAAGTTATGGAACGATTTATACGATGATTTATTTCTAATACCTCTGAATAATAGTATACACTCTCAGATTGTATTGGATACAAATTTGCTAGTGTTTGTCTTGCGTGACTGCTAAAGCATATGTATGCTAGTATGCTTATCAACAAGGGGACCTGCGTCCTTAAGTCATAACTGACAGAAATGAGGATTAATGCCTCACAAAAGGGCATTTATATAGCACATCGACACGGTTTTGATCCTGGGGCCTCACAGTTACGAGGCCATTGCTTTGCCACTGAATCGTGACCGTAAGGCATCTCCCACAAATAAAAAACAACATAGAAAATGCAATAAATCGTTCCCAACAGCAAAAATTCCTCTTTACGGCCATGCGTTATGGTTCAAGGCATGGTCACAAAGAGGATTAAAACAAACTGCAATCGGAAAAAAATTATTACTATAGCTTTTCTCTTTGCTTTACCTCTTACCAATACAAAAAGTATGTACCGGCATTTGTGAAGGAGGAGCAAAGGAAGTAATATTATTTCGTCCCTCCTTACAATTTTCGACCATGGGAAAAAATTCAGCATGCTGTGTAAACTAGTAGCTAACCGGGTGTGGAATAATTTTGTTAGCTCTTGTAAGATTGCACATGTAAAGGCATGAAATGAAGACAGATCTTGGAGGGGCATGTTTCACAAAGAATAAAAATCAACTTAAGATGGAATCGTACAATGACAGGCCGTTCATGCACTGGTTGCTCTCACCATAGGTCTCTCAAGGGATGTGCAAATCGTCGTCACAAATCTACATAATTGACATTTATTTTACAGTTCATTGAAAAAATGAATGTAATTTCAAGTTCTACAAAAGATTTGGACTGATACTATTTTATGATGATAGGAAGTATATGCCCCTAAAATATCTTACACCAGATGTACAATTTGAGGAAAAATACCCAATAAGTTATGATTTATCGATAATTGTATAGCTTTAACAATTAACTACAACAAATTCTATAAATTTGTGACCACGATTTCTACGTCCCTCGAAACGCCTGCCATATTTCAAGTCCAACTTAAGTCGATATTTTGTGAAACTCCCGAAGGTCTCAAAAGACCCTTCCTTATATAAATAGTCAGTCTCCCCTTTAATAATCCGATAGCCCTCAATAAGTGATTTTACTAATTTGTCTGTACTGGGTTGCGGGAAAACAAATATTATGCCCCTCCTGATGCCAAGGCCTTGGTAGAAGTTGTTAGACTTTTTTGTTAAAGTCTGGTTAATTTCCCTCTTTTTGTTATCAAAGAATAAGTAGATGTACAATTATTCACAGAATGAAAAGGTAAAGAAAAAAACTACAAATTTGTGCTGGTAAAAGCTGGCAGTTTCATATTTCCATTTCCGTTAGTTCATATAAAGTCGTAGGTTTTTTGTTTGATTGAGCATGCAATCAAAAAGCAAGACCAAAACATGCTCACCCGTTTCACAGACATACGCATAAACACACACTCACTCACACACACACACACACACAAACGAAGTTTCTTTCCTTTATTTTTAATAGATTGTGACAAGAAGCTCTGTGAAAACAGCTGGTGCGAGGAGACTATGGAAAGTTATCTGTGCCACTGTTCAGCTGGATTTCAAGGGAAACACTGCAATGAACGTAAGAACAATATATCAACAAAAATGAGTTCTGATAAAGGTTTAAAAAGGAAACATAATAAGGATATTTTGTGACATTTCCTATTCTTTTCATGTCATGTGAGTTTTGATGAATATCATAGCAGTAGATCTAATAGTAGCGATGGTATATGGTTCAGAAAGTTTGAATGTGCAGAAAGTAGAAGAGGGTATGTTGAGGAGAAAAGAAAGAGCCCTGATAATGAAGATGCGTGGCTCGGAGTTGTTGTCTGATAAGAGAACATTAGTGAACTCAAGGAAAGTTTAGGTCATTTACCTGGTTTTCGATTTTATTGTTCTTAATACTGGCAATTTGGTTTCGCCTTCTCGCTTTGTCCCCCCTTTTCCCTTGCCAAATCCTTTACATAAAGAGAATGTATCCCTTTTTAAAATTTGTTTTCTTCAAACATCATGGAAATTGGCACGATTCAACGTTTTGTCTATCATATGAAATCCCAAAGTCGAAGGTTTCATAAAATGTCAGTAGATGGGGCTGTGGTCTAATCCCATACATAATTTACAAGTATGTGTGAAATGCTGGGGAGAAACAAAGCTTAGCTTAATAGTGAAGAGATCTTTTTTTTTTTTTTAATTTTTAATTTTTAATTTAATTATTTCGGGTACGTTAGAAATAGGGGACTTAGGAATAGGACAATTAAATAAAATTGAATGAACAGAAAATAAAATGGTAGCGGAATAATAGATTTTTGAGGAGACAATTTTAAGAAGATGAATAAGGGAAAAAAAACGAACAAATCAAACAATGTATACAGCCTTTCTTTCTGTTAACAAGAAATAATGCGTGTTTCTGTTGTACTTTTCTGTCTTGAATAGTAATGTTTTACTTGTTTTTTGCTAATAGAAAACATAATTTATGTCTTAAGTTCAGTCCAGTTGAATGAAATTTATTAGAATGTAATTCGAATTCAAATTCTAACTTTGCTCAAATTTCCTTGTTATGAATGTCTTCACCAACACCAATCCGCAAACACGCACACTCCCATATACATACTCCATTTCACGCATGTACACGCACCCGCCCACCCCTACCCCCAATACACATACACGCACAATACACGCAACCACACCTCACACACACACACACACACACATGCACATACGCACACACCCTCATGTGCTATTAGTGGCGAACGACTCATGCATATAAGTGATAAACGTGCATTGAGAATATGTGAACTTTTAGGCCCTCCCAGTACGTTTTCGTTTGTTTGATCACATTCTGCTGTCCAAACAAAATGCTTACTAATGGATGGTAAGCCATTCAAAGATACTCCATCTTCAGGAACCATTTTATTACCAGAATTCCATATCATTTCTTAAAGACAAGACTGCTGTGTTCTGGTAGAGATAACAAACAAATTCCAAACTTTCTCATACTTTTTATGTTGATTCGGAAAAAGATAAATGAAAAATAATAATATTGACCTCATATTTATCATGTAACTATAGATAGCTGAAAAAAAATCGAGCTTATAATTAATATGATTAATATTTATATTATAACTATTTCTATTACTACTATTCATTTTACCATTATTAGTATTAGTATTATCATTACTATTATCATTATTATTATCATTATCACTATTTCTTTTTTTTCGATGATTCCACGCCTCACAGTTTGCAGCAGTACCACATACATTCGCCAAACAAAATTTCTTTCTTCATAATAATCGTTGAATCAAATTTAAAAAAAAAAAATAGTAATTCGTGGAAATGGCACGGTGCTACTGATTACTAATCAACTATTGTGTTGAAAGCGTATTAGCTAACAAATAATTGATTTGTTAAAAGCCGTTTTTGTTGTTGAGCGATCTTCAGTCACACAGGTGAAAGAGACATAGGGAGAGAGAGAGAAAAACAAAAGAGAGAGAGAGAGGGGGATAGAGAGACTGGGGGGGGGAGGCAAATGCTTCTATCTCCTGTAGCCTTGCCAATAAAATACAAAATGAATTTTTTATTTATCAGAAACAAAGTTTGACGAGACAAAATTGGCAAATATGAACTCCATCACCAAGTTGACATTTTGTTTATTGTCGCCAAGGCAACTAGGCATAATGAGTAAAACACTATGAGAGAGTTGATCCAGTCTATTTACAATATTTTAAAGAGATAAAGTAATCATAACAGTAAAAGAGGGCCACAATCCTTTGCATTCGGGAGGGGGATTTGAGATCATGGGGATTAATACTTAATTAATTTGTCGGGGGAGGGGGTATACCGCCCCAGAAATGTACCAGCATTATACAAGTTTTGATATTGGTTTGGTAAAAGTTGTTCTTTTGATACATCTTTCCACAATTCTGACTGCCGAAACGCAAAGGGGCAGAACAATGTTTAAATTTGAACTGTAGATCTCATGTGATCCCTCGTGGGGTTATTTGTTAGGCCTGTAGATGATTTCAGAATTACATCATGGTTCAAATGAAACCGAATATCCACATATATTTTATACAGTCGTGGAGAAATCACACTTCGTGCATTTCAGATTAATCATTGCCAGCAAGCGGCATTTTTAATTCACATTTCACGAACCTATTACGATAGGTGACCCCTAGACCCCCTAAATATCCTTAATCAAAAGCCATTTTTCTCGTTCTTCCTGTTCTTGTTCTTGTTTTTATTCTCCTTCTTCTTCGTTTCATGATGATGATTTTTTTTATCATTATTATTATTATCATTTTCATCATGATGATTATTATTATTGTTATTATCATCATAAATGTTATTGTCGGTATCATTATTATAGTATTATTATTGTGATCATCATTATCACCATTATCATCTTTATTATCATTCAATGCTTTGTATGAATCCTGTGTTTCGACAGAAGCACCATCAGCCATCACTCACTTCACTGACATGTCTACGATCATACCGCCCGAAATGACGCAAGTCACCGCCACGGCCGGTGAGCATTTCATATCATTCCCGTTGCACGCAAGGTTTCATTTAGCTGATGTAGGACTGTGTATGTAAAAATCAATTCTATGATGGCTAGTAATCTATAAGTATTATTGTCTATACGGTGTCACATTCATACGATGCGTCAAAGACGACACAGGTCGCTAACGCAGTCCTACGTCAGGCGAATGACACCTTCCGCTCAACGTCCGGCGTTATAACCGCTATATGTCTCTTGCAAACGGAGCGTCATTCTTGTGACGCATGGCTGAATTCGTGATTTGTGTGGTGTTTGACGCACCATTGGACAGTAGCATTCAGGGATTGTCAACAAAATGAATAAAATATGAACAGTACAAGGGTCATTTTGAATTACTGACTCGCACTCTTTAGTCCTCATCTTTTGTTGCACTATATAGCAGCAATTATTGTTCATAATAAAATTTAGATTATCAGGCCATTAGAGTCTAAACGTGTTATTTCTCTCAATGAGATGTTTTATTCAATCATTCAGGATCTAAAGCGACTTAATGAAATGTAAAGTTATTTTAATCCTCCTAGTGCGCCTTTTGGTATAATCACCCCTCCTGTTACTTGTCAACTTGACATTTTCTATGTGTACAGCTTTATACTGTATTGTTTCAGCACAACACCAAGTACCAGGCAAGGATAGATCTTTTTCTATGAGAGGCTGGTCCTCTGACCTACACCACCTTTGTTTTTCCTATCAGTTCCTAGACTCCCACGTGACTGCGCTGAGATTCAGACTGGTGGACTATCCCATCTCAGTGGGGTGTATCCCATCTATCCCGATGGAGTTGGGGATGATCCTCTCTTCGTTTACTGTGATATGGAAACGGACGGAGGTCGCTGGACGGTGAGAAATGATGATAGCTCGAATTTCAACTTCATCAACCCCGTCCACTTTTAAAATGATCGCATAGATTTTCAAAAAACACTAAAGCAAATATCTTCGAAAAATTAACCTTGCCTTGTGCGTCATCCATTTAAATGTATGTAAACATTTCAATAGAAAAAAAAATTCTTTAGGGAATACAATAGGGTATTACAATTTCCTTTTAGATGATTTTTCGAAAATGGATCGTATTAAGAATCAAATTTTGGGTAATATATACCCTGTATCCTATTTCATCCATCAACATTTTCCCACTCTCCGCCCTGGTGTCAACAGGTACCTGCTAATTGCTGGGCCCTCATGATAAATAGAATCGATATTGCTTATTGATATTGATTTGGTTGATCTTTTAAAAGTCTTTGCCATCGCATTATTATTATTGGAGCGAAACGTGATAACAGCCACTCTTCTTCGTGTTGATACACTGTTCAAAAGTAATTACATAAACTTTGATAACACACATCGCATCTTCAATCATCGCAAGTGTTATATGTTCTGAATTAATAATTAATACACACACACACACTCTCTCTCTCTCTCTCTCTCTCTCTCTTTCTTTGTCTCTCCCTCTCTCTTTGTCTCTCCCTCTTTCTCTCTCTCTCTATGCCTCTTTTTTCTCTCTCTCTTTCTCCCTCTCTCGTTCTCTATCTCTTTTTTTCTTTCTTTCGCCCCCACCCCCTATCCCTCCCTCCCACTCTCTCTGTAGGTCTTCCAGCGTAGACAAGATGGATCTGTTGACTTCTTTCTTAACTGGTCCGAGTACAAACACGGTTTTGGAAACGTTTCCTCCGAGCACTGGCTCGGTAACGACAACATCCACCGTCTTTCCCGTAATAAGACCTACGAGCTACGGATCGACCTAGAAGACTTCGAGGGACAAACGCGCTATGCCGCCTACAGCAATTTCAGTATTACGGACGAGGTCGCAAAGTACACGCTGGCCCTTGGCAGCTATTCCGGAGACGCAGGTATGTAATAGGGCGATCCCCTGCAATGTGGCCTGTACATAATATTATTCATTTTAAGTCATCACAAATGTGGTTCCTCTTGGTATCACTGATATTATTAACTGGCACAATCAATTAAGGTGTCTGTTTTTCTTTTTTCTATATGGAATAAATGGGGGTATGTCGTATTGGACCAATGCGGAATCGCGGAATCGTCCAAAGGTACAGTAATATGGTACTATATGATATGCTATACGGTAATATGTTAATACGGGAGGCTAATTCGGTAAAACAGTTTTTTTTTTTAATTAAAAAAAGGAATTCTGTATACTATAATTTCTTAATATTGTTCATTGTAATATGGTTAAAGGCCCTGTGGTAATACAATCATACATTTATACGGTTAAACGATAAAACGGTTATCGTTAATAGTGTCATGGGGGAAAATCTATTTTTACAGTTAATATACGATATTAAGGTAAAACGGTATTAACTATCAAACGCTCTCTCACAGTGACGAGGTAAACGACAGCAGTATTTTTTTTTTTGGGGGGGGGAGGAGGGGATTTGTGGTTGAGAGTTTTTGTTTGCTTGTTTTTGTTTTATTTAACCCGTAATAGGATATCAAGTCGAGAAATGAGGGGTTGAAAAAAGTATCAATGAATAATAACGAATACTCCCAAACGCATCTGTCTGTTATATCGAAATACAGAAGACACAGCATTCACCGATGGACAGACAAACGGACGGCTTCGTACAATACATACACGCAGCCTCAAATCGAGTACGGGGAGATCGTATCTATTTTGAATTGATTTATATCATGTGTAAACCATAAATCAATTTCTCATTTATATGCAGGTGACAGTATGTCGTATCATGAAGGTTATCCGTTCAGTACACTGGACCGTGATCATGATGGTTTAGGGGGAAACTGCGCCGACCTGTGCAAAGGAGGCTGGTGGTACAATGATTGCCATCATGCCAACCTAAACGGCCTATACCTGAACGGTCCAACCACACAAGTGGCCAAGGGTGTGGTATGGTATCACTGGCTCGGTTATACATACTCCCTCAAGAAGACGGAGATGAAGCTTCGTCCGACGTAATTAACGAACGCCTGTCATAAGAACGTGCCGGTTTACCGTGGGGTTTCGTAAGCACATTTAAAAACACCGGAATTTACATTTTGTATTTTATCACACACAGCTTCTCAGCTTTTTCACTTTGATAACGAAACATATAACAACTTCCTCAAAACAGTGTTACTCATTTTAGTATCGGCTGAACATGAAGGAAGTTATGCCGTGTTGCTGTAATAAGTATTCACAAATATTCACTTAAATAGATAATAATCCTAAATTTTCGAGGGTTATTTGGAAAATAAGTACTGTAATATTTTTTACGTATGTTTGAACATAAGGAAACTTCAATTAGATTATTTGCTAAATGTTGTCTGGCATTATTTAATTATTTCCCACAAGAATGTCAGCAACAAAAAAGATGCGGTGAATCAAGGGCGGATCTAGGGGGTTCGGCGGTTTAACACCCCCCCCCCCCCTTGGGCGGCCAAACGAGAAAAAAAAAGGGAGAAAAAGAAGGGAAACGAGGAGAAAAAAGGGGGAAAAAAGGGGAGAAAAAGAAGGAAAAGAGAAGGAAAAGAGAAGGAAAAAAGAAGAAAAAAGTAAAGCAGTGCAATTTTTGGAAAATCCTGAATCCGCCACTTGGTCAAATACCCCTTTGGAAAAAAACTAGATCCGCTCGTGTGAATTGTATCCATGTATTTAGAAAAGAAGCAGAAATAGAGAAAACTACAAATATTGTATTTTTTCCTTTGCACCTTGTAAATACATAAGTTTTAAATATTGAACTAACGTGTTTAATAAACTTTATCATTGCTCATATTGTTATTAGTATTATTATTACCATCATAAATGTATTGTAGAAAACGTACTTCAAAGAAGAACCTATATGTAGGGAATTTTAGAGATAGATATTTTACGATCACAGTTCTTGCATTCCTGCGTATAAAGTAACAGTCAATCTACTAGTCATCCATTTTAAACGGACACACATTGATGATGAAATAATCGTTAAGTATTATTAAGCCTCGATGTCCATGTAGCACTTTTCGTTTTCAATACTTATATCAAAATGTAAGATGCAATTTTTTTTAAATCTCATTTAAATAATATCTCGTTTAAATCTTTGTCTTTGTTCATAGACTTCTGGAATTTTCAACAACATCTCATTCTTATTTCACCCATTTATGGAAGGGTAACTTAGTGAAGTGCGAAGGTTGTGTGTGTATCGGGCTATGGTGGGATGGTGAATTTTAAAAGAATAGGTATTTTAAAAAATACCAAGAGAAAAAAGGCTAGGGAAAGAAAACCAATAGAGAGTTAAATACAAGCACCCAATACTAGGACAAGTTGTGGAAATAAATCAAATCCCTCCTTTTCACAGTATTGTCTTGTTTCACTTTTTCCAATATTAATTTGTATTCATTCGAAAAAATGAGAGATAAAACAAAATGATAATTTAGTGAATACATGTAAAGTCTCTCGTAGAACTTTATAAAACTTCGAATGGCCAATTAAAATGCTACAACGTCTCTGACGTCAGCATGGAAAGTTGTTCATTGCACCAAAGTGAATGTTCTCAGCTCTTTTTAGCCTTGCCGAGTCTCCTATGATTTTGGATAACGGGGGCCGAAATAAACCTTGAATTTCTCGAAATCTCTCTTCTACTGGTAGAGGGACTACCTGTACAGTTTAGCATTGAAGAAGTAGGCTGCAAGATTGATGCAGTGAATTGTATTCATGCATTTAGGAAAGAGGCAGAAAAAGAGACAAATACAGCTTTTTTTCCGTTGCCGCCTTGTACATATTATTATTGAACTGATGTGTTTCACAAACATTATCATTGCTCATATTGTTATTAGAATTATTATATATCACCATCATTGATGTATTGTAGAAAACGTATTTCAGAGAAGAGAGTATATGTAGGGAAATATATAGATAGATATCTTATGAACACAGTTCTTGCATTCTTGCATATCAGTAACAGTCAATCTGCTAGTCATCAATTGTAAACAGACACAAATTGATGATGAATCTTGAATTAATATTAAGTATCGATTTGCATTCAGCCCCATTCGTTTTCAATTCTTTTAACGTAGTATAAGAAGCACATCTTATTCATATTAAATTGTTTTTATCTCACATAAACAATCTCTCGTTTATATTTTCGTCTTTGTTGCTACTCTTCTGTAGTTCTCATCATGTAATTCTTAAGGTAACTCAATAAAGTGTGAAAACCGTTTGTGTATTCGGCGATAATGGCAAGAGGAATTAAAAAAAAATACCAAGAGAAAAACAAGCTATGGAATGAAACCAATATAGACAAGTACACAATCCTAGCCCATGTGTTGTGCACGTGTGTGTGTGTGTGCGCGCGTGTGTGTGTGTGTGTGCGTGTGTTTTTTAATTAGGGTTTTATAGACGTGCACCAATCAGATAAGTTATTATAATACCCCCTTTTATAGTATTGTCTTGTTTCACTTTGTCCAATATAAATTTAAATTCATTCGAAAAACATCAGAAGTAAAACAAAACGTGCAATGAATAAACGTCTCCGGTAGAACTTTATAAAACGTCCAATGGCCAATTGAAATGCTACAACGTCTTTGACGTCAGCATGAAAAGATGTTCATTGCACCAAAGTGAATAGTCTCTGCATGTTTTGGCCTTGCCGAGCCTCCTGTGATTTCGGATGAAGGGGACCGAGAAAAACCTTAAAGACCTCGAAAGCTCCCTTGTACTGGTAAATGGAATACTTATACAGCTTAGCATTGAAGAAGTAGGCTGCGAGATTGATTCTGGATAATCAAAGCAATCAAACAAGTAGCAAAATATCAATGAGAAGGAGAGAGAGAGAGGGGGGATCAAGGGGGTGAGTAAATAGTTGTACAGCTTATTATTAAAGAAGAAGGCTGCGATATCGACTCTGGAAATGAAGTAGAACGATTTAATAAATAGAACTTTTTGTTTTTGATTAGACAATCTAAGAGAGGGGAAGCCAATATAGGGTATGTGTGTGTGTTTGTGTGTGTATGTGTGCGTGTTTTTGTGTGTGTGTCACAAGAAATCAGAGAGGGATATGTAGAAAGGGATCAAGCCGAGGGAATGAATGGGTATGTGAATCTGAGATATACAGCGAGTCTCAAAAAAGGTGGATTGTTCTCAAAGTCTCCAAATATGTAAATTACAAATCATCGGATTGTTCAATTTAAAGACGATAGTCTCTACCATCCATAGGAATGAAAGTTGCCTTAGATTATTTTGATATACATCGTTTGGGAGACTTTATTCCAACTTCATTGTTTGAGATGAAGTATAGAGTATAGTTCATTCACAGCGCTCATATCCTCCAATATCACCCGGCTGATGGAACGTGATCACCGATAATAGGTGCTTTATATGGTATGTTGTTTATTTAATGTCTTTGTTTTCTACAATGTATTCTATTTTTTGTAAATCTTTGTATGTACTGGGCTCTTTTGTAAAGCAGGCCTCTGGCACTGAAAAGACTACCCTGTTTTTAAAGAAAACTGAATAAATAAATAAATATGGAATTGCATGAATTCCTTTCTACCGCAACCCATTTAACATCCGGGTAAAGAGTGGCAAAAGTATATTAATGTCTTACCAAAGGACACTATAATGTCGGATCAGGGCTTAAAATCACAACCTTCGGATATCCAGTCAAGTGCTTAAACCACTCGACTACGATGCACACCCCACATGTGACTACCCCTTAGTCTAAGAGGTGAACCGCCATTTGGTCTGCTGCAGGGATTAACTTACGCTGACTAGCAAAAACCCCTTCTGAATGTGGCTTATGTAATCTTGAAGACGATATTCTAAGGTTTTCTGGATTCAGCTTTTCATTGTGTTGGAGATACGCAAATGAAATTTGGTATCTTCCTAAAGGACAATAGTGGCATGGATTAGAATTCCGAGCATTGTAGTACTTAGCTTGATGAACTATCAACACGACCACGATATCTCTCTATATATCTGTTAACTATCAACTGAGCCGACCTTCTCTCATTGATGGGAACCCCTTTAACAATGGAGAGACTTATAACAAATCTACCACGAGAACTTGCACTCCGTGTAGATATTCCTGTTATTCATAACGGGTTAACTCTCTTATGTAATCTTGAAGACGATTGGTTTTCTGGATTCAGCTTTTTTTTACGGACGTAACTGCAGTACCTCCTGCCCTAATGTCAAGGGGGTGGTTAGAAAGAAAACAAGGTGATTGCAGGCATTCTTAATAAAAGTGTAATACAATTATATGAATAGATCATACTACAACTTCTCACATTATCCAGTCACGCGATAGCTGATCATACAAATCATTTATTCTTGAGCTGGTAAAATAGTTTAAAACAGTTTGTCATCCATCTGATCTGATCATCAGAATCACTCAGTTGGAACTTGCATTGGTGGAACTTAACTCTCATTAACACAGCCTCAGCTAAGAAAACAGGAGACTCAAACCGAAATTCAGAGTCAATGTAATTGAATTATCATGTGCACGCTCTGGCTGGAATATGGAGAGAATACACCGTTAAGCGCAAAACCGTAATTGAGACCAGTGACTGGTAAAGTATTAAACAATACTGCAAATGCTTTGATCGGTTAATTGTTTATATTTCTTCTTTTTTTAAAGAATGAATTGGAAACAGTAATTTATATAAACCCACCTCATCTAAAAAGGCCCTAAAGTATAAAGAGTTAGATGTCTGCTAAGCATTAGCAATCATATCAGTTATGTTGCTAGGTGGGAGAAAAATGATGGGTTACCTTTCCTAACAACACGTAATGTGTGCAATTTGCACTCTGAATATTAACAAAAAACATTTATTCGCAAAACTGGTGAATGAAATAATTTGTAATGAAGCACATAACAATGACCAAGTTCATGATCATTAAAATGCTGCTTCAACTCTTCAAACAATCTGGGGAGCGAGAAAGATAAATCAAAGAAAATAAACTACTAGGCAGTGATGTCAGTAGGTGGTAGAAATAGTACGGGTTACCTTACCTAACAACACGTAATATATGCAATTCGCATTCTCAATATTAAAATACATTTATTCGTAAAACAGGTGAATTAAATAATTTGTACTGAAGCACTTAACAATGACTCTTGCATTGATTTTATGTTTAACTTTTGTTTGCAATTTCATGAGCAGCGCCTCAACTTGTAACATTTGATTAAGAATGTTATAATGTCAAAGCAATAATAATTAATTTTTATTTAATTTAAGAACTGATAATACGTCGCGAATGGTAAACGACATCATTTTACCTCCTTAGATATTTCATCTAGCTTAGTCAAGGTCATATATTTTCGTCTCCATTTGGCCAATACTAAACTCAGAAAAAGGTTGCATACATATCTTTCCTTTCAATTTTTCATCCTACCGCACGCGTGTAATTGCTACG